AAAAAAGACAGGCAAATAACAAAAAAGACAAATTTCTATCTATCTTTATTTCTTTTTACTGTCTTAAACATTGTAAATAATCTGGCAAATAACTAAAAAAGACAAATTTCTATATATCTTTATTTCTTCTTACTGCCTTAAACATTGTAAATAATCTGGCAAATAACAAAAAAGACAAATTTCTATCTATCTTTATTTCTTTTTACTGTCTTAAACATTGTAAATAATCTGGCAAATAACTAAAAAAAAGACAAATTTCTATCTATCTTTATTTCTTATTACTGTATTAAACATTGTAAATAATCTGGCAAATAACTAAAAATGACAAATTTCTTTTATATATATATATATATATCCGAACATGAAATCATGTCAGACAGAAAAAGAAGAAAATACCGTTGTTCAATACACTCGTATGATATTAACAAGGGGCCACCCATTTAAAAACAAAAAATCCATTATTTCTTCCCAGTGCAACTTCTCAGATGATACGAACTTGCTGTTTCGAGCTTTAGTAACAAGTTTATTGTTGTCATTCAATCCAGAGGTACTGAAACGAATTGAGAACAGAAGTAAATATAACAGTATACATTGAAAAGGTGTTTATACCTTTTTAGAAGGTACCGTCTCTGTACTAGTCGTATCGTTAAATAATAATAATTCGTAGAATCGTATTTCTAACAAGGAATAAAAACTTTATTAATAACACACACACACACACACATATATGTCTCGTTTGCAGCAGCTTACATGTAACTGATTAGGTGTAGTTGAAATGCTATCATATGTTCTAAATGGAAAGCAGTAAAGAATAATGTGATATAGATTATCAGTCTTATTGTTGTTTTCATATCACTCACAGGGCACTACTGAATATCGTGCTTCGCAAGCTTAAAGTATTCTACTTTCCTAAATTGTGTTGTCATATATTGGCAATACGTAAACTTTCAGCTAGATAACCATTTTACAACATACATGCAATTGTGTTCTTACGCCGAAAGCGCACTATTTATCGATTTCCTTTTCTCTGTCTTTCTATACGTTTATGTCTTTCTTTCTTGCCTGTGTATGTTTAATCTGTTTCTTTGACTGTCTATCTCTCTGCTTGTTAGCCTGCGGATGTAGTTTATTTGTTTGTCCATCTGTATTGAAATGCCATGGCTAATCTTTAATATGCAGATTTCAAGTATAATAATTTAGAATTCTCCTTTATTATTCAGTGCTCAATAATGCTCAATATTCGCTTTGGGCACAGCGTTGTTGGAACATTGTGTGGAATTGTGTTTAAAAAAAAAAACTTTATTAGCCCTGGCTGATATGACTGTCAGAACCAGTCCGGTCAGAACCGGTGAGAGTACATTTTGGTTATAAGCACTTTGTTGTTATAGGGGGACGCTTTGAGCCATAATATATTTTCATATAGATTGGCATCTTTGGAAGTACCCATTCTATTACAGTGGAGGTTTGAGAGAGCTAATGTATTGCCAAAACAGTTGCCATGCAGAGGGCTCATCAATTGAATCATCAGCCAACTTTTGTTTGTTCAGCGTTTTCAGGATCTTATTTTGTTTGTTTTTTTTTTTCAGGAGAAATACCTTCTGTTTTACATGCATAATAAGAAAAAGTAAGTTGAAGAAAACAGCTTTAGCAAATACCAGACAACCCTCGCATTTTTAATGTTTAAAGGCATATAGATAAACTTCTTTGTTCATCAAATGGTTTACTGAACCTACGATACCGAACTATAATTCTAATCTAAGAAATAAAAATACCATGTTCAGCGCAAAGACTATTTATAAAATAAAGCTTTAAATTCTTTCTTTTCATAGTTGAAAAATGTCAGTTTCTTGTTATCTTTGACCCGTGATATTTTTGGATGTAACATAGGAAAATACTGTATTTTGTATTAATACGTTACGAATCGTTCGTTTCGTAAATCATAAATATATATTTTTTACCTATTTTCGGAAACTATTTAATATGTCAAAAGTATCGCCAAACTCACGTAACAAATAGAGCATCAAAACCGTTTGGCATTCCAGGAAAGATTATACCTCAAAAGAATCTTTTATAATTTGAGGTTAAGTCAGGATTTCAGGTATCGAAGTATGAAATATTTTCTCTATTCGAGAGTTATAAAAATAAATATTTGATTGAAACTGCTCTTTAGTAACTATTGACAACTTGGAAAGGCTTCTGCTACTGAAGGAACGCCGTAAAAAATAGTTAATGCATCAGAAACCAGACGGCGGTTTCATCGCGGTATCCGTAAACAAGCATTTAGAAACGGTTATGGCAGTATAAAATTAATTTGTTAAAAATTTAATTTAGCAGATATTAATTTGATGTCTGGAAAGAATTGATTTTAAAATTCATAAAAACGTTTCTCTGAAAATCATAACATCATTCTGTCAATAAGTGACGTCATAATTTATTTTTAAAAAATGCAGTTGTTCGTTTAGGACTTTTTGTTTGTTTATTTTTTTACTCTATTTAGCACAAAGCTACAAAATAAGCCATTTACGCTCTGCCCACTGCGGGGAATCGAACCTTGGATTTTAATGTTTTCAGACCGTGAACTTACAGCTGGCCTACCAGGGACTCCATGTTTTGAATGCAAGTTCAAACTGAACCTTAATTAAGTGAAAAATATGAGAAATTCATTTTATAAATCGGCCTCCGTGGCTCAGTAGTAACTCTGAAGGTTTATCACGCTAAAAATCGGATTTTGATACCTGCGGTAGGCAGAGCACAGGTAGCCCATTGTGTAGCTTTGTACTTAACAACAAATAATGAGCAATAAACTTTTCGGATCATGTAAACTCTTGAGGTTTGTCTTTTCTGACACTAGTAATGCAAGCTTGGAGTTAGGCTTAGAATTTCTATGCTGATTCTGAGGAAAAGACAAATTAAAGTCGACTAACAATACAGAGTTTCCTTAACATAGCTTTCTTTATGATAATATTAAATTAAATTAAAAAGTTGCTAACTTTATTGTGTATTTTTTAACCCTACATTTTGTGTTTGTTTCAAGAAGCTTTGGGATAGAATTAAACAGACGTGCTATTCACATATTAACATTATGTTTGAATAGAATTAAATATCCGTACTATTCACTCATTAACATTATACTTGGATAGAGTTAAACAGCTGTAATATTCACACATTCACATTATGTTTGGATAGGATTAAACAGCCGTACTATTAACACATTAACATTGTGTTTGGATAGAAGTAAACAGCCGTACTATTCACATATTAACATTACGTTTGGATAGAGTTAAACAGCCGTACTATTCACACATTAACGTTACGGTGCATTTTACCTTCACTTCATGTTTGTTTCAAGGCACTTTTGGAATAGAAGAAAGTTTTATCTAGATGTTTACTCACGCTTATTTTCGTTTGCCAGACAAGGATCGACTCGAGTTACCGGAGACTCTACAAAATTTGCCCAGGGTAGAGAATTTTTCGTCTTATAGACATCGTTGGAACACGAACGAGGTGAGAAAATAATAGTACCAGTTTTGTTCCTTTTATTAAACATTGAAGATAAGTTATTTCCATGTGGTCCAAAAGCATCGCGCTTAATAAACTGTAAAAATAGATAGTTATAAAGTATAAATAATTATCTCGCTAGTCTGTATAACAATATAAATGTTATGCCTCCCATGGTAAGATTAATTAATATTTCGTACTGAAACCTGACGCTTTATTCCTAAAGGTAAAATTTAAGCTGCTTAAGTAGTGGGTTATGATATAAGAAGTTTTGGCTTCTATCTCATTCTTACTCTTGTGTGTTTTTTTTCTACGTGAACTGAATCACATTCAGAAGAAGTTTGTTTTTGTTTATTTTGAATTTCGCGCAAAGCTACACGAGGGCTATCTGCGCTAGCCGTTCCTAATTTAGCAGTGAAAGACTATAGGGAAGGCAGATAGTTATCACCACCCACCGCCAACTCTTGAGCTACTCTTTTACCAACGAATAGTGAGATTGACCGTCACATTATAACGCCCCCAAGGCTGAAAGGGCGAGCATGTTTGGTGGGACGGAGATTCGAACCCTTGACCCTCATATTGCGAGTAGAGAGTCCCCTAACCACCTGGCCATGCCGGGCCCATTCAGAAGAGAGAAGTTGTGTATCGATAAAAACTTAGATTGGTCAGTCTGGACTGTTCTGGAATGTGACATTTCGGTCAATATTTTGTATTTACCCAATGATAGTACACGTATAGCATAGACATTCATGTCCCATAAGTTTATTTTTCTATTTATTGTTTTTACGTTCGATGTAAATTAGAACTATTTTCTAGAGTAAGATTATTTGTAAATAAAGTAATATTAAACTGGAGCTCCACATTCAAGAAAACATTTTCGTCGTTAGAACAAGTTTTATTATTAGTATTTCTGTGATCGCACTAATAAATAAATGGAGGGAAAAGAAGTAAATATCATCGACTAGTTCGTGCTTCAAGGAATATTTAGCGACCGAGACGGTCGATGTGGATATCTTAGGTTTCTTGTGCAGCGAATTTCTTTCCGCCAGCTGACGAAACTCTGAACGAATTTTGTTTTGCTTGTTTGTTTGGTGCTGAGCGCAGAGCTACACAATAGGCTATCCGTGTTCTGCCCACCGCTGGCTTCGAAACCCAATTATTGGAGTTATAAACTTTCAGGCTTACTGCTGATCCACTAGGGGCGACCCCGAACGAAGAGACAAGAAAAGTTGGTCAAGCCGATTACGATAAACCTTCAACTCTGTATGTGTTTCATCAGATTTACGATAAACCTTCAACTCTGTATGTGTTTCATCAGATTTACGATAAACCTTCAACTCTGTATGTGTTTCATCAGATTTACTTATCAGCTAATAATCCTTCACTTGCTAGAATATAAAAACTTTACACAAGCCTTGAAATTATTTCACAGAAAAGGAGAAGTAAAATAGGTTTGGTATTTCTCAAGTAATATTTCCAATTAATTTTGCAAAACAAACAAACAAAACACTAATTATTTTTTATTTTAATGTATTTGTTTATCTTATTCACTTGATATATTTACAGGAGATTGCTTCCATTTTGATCTGTTTTGACAAGCACGAGTCATGGTTATCCAAAGAAGTAAGGATAAGGTAAGTGCCACTCATCGCCCTCTATAAATCTAATATTTAATTACAAAGCACTGTACGTGGTTTAATTTTATTTCGTAATGATGGAGAAGTGGGGTTTGACCGTTGTACTTATTCATAGACCCATGCTCCACAAAGTGCGAACCGCATTTTTGTGGCAACAGGTTTCAAAATATGAAATATTCTGATTCACAATGCGGATACGCTGACCACCAAGCCAGTGGTCCTCAACTACTGGTACATGGACCGGTATCGGTCCGTAGAAATAGCGAGTGAAATGAAAAATATTGGATACCACTGTATTATGTCACGTTCTTGGAAATATCAGGATTAACTACATAAATATTTAATACGAAATTGTAAGATTTTACACACCCACTTATATTTTAAGAGTGAGACTCTAAACATATTAGTTTAAAAACTCGCCAAATGTGATAAAAACTTTTATAGCCTAACCTATCTTCACGGAATATTTGTTCAAAGGTTGTATGTATCTTTTCATTATAACCTTTGAAAAACAAACTTAAAATTGAAATTTATTTTGTTCGTAAGCAACTCCTTTATTTTTGACGAAAATATAGGGTATTGAGGAATTCATTTGTTATTGGACTTTTAAAAATATGGCCAGGTGGTTAGGGCGCTCGACTCGCAATCTGCGGGTCGCGGGTTCGAATCCCCGTCACACCAAACATGCTCGCCCTTTCAGCCCTTAGTCTTTTACCACTATTCGTTGGTAAAAGAGTCGCCCAAGAGTTGGCGGTGGGTGGTGATGACTAGCTGCCTTTCCTCTAGTCTTACACTGATAAATTAGGGATGGCTAGCGCAGTTAGCCCTCGTGTAGCTTTGCGCGAAATTCTGAAACAAACAAGCAAACTAGCCGCCTTCCCTCTAGTCTTACACTGCTAAATTAGGGACGGCTAGCGCAGTTAACCCTCGTGTAGCTTTGCGCGAAATTCTGAAACAAACAAGCAAACTAGCCGCCTTCCCTCTAGTCTTACACTGCTAAATTAGGGACGGCTAGCGCAGATAGCCCTCGTGTAGCTTTGCGCGAAATTCTGAAACAAACAAACAAACTAGCTGCCTTCCCTCTAGTCTTACACTGCTAAATTAGGGACGGCTAGCGCAGATAGCCCTCGTGTAGCTTTGCTCGAAATTCAAAACAAACAAACTTTTACAAATATTTGAAAAAAAAACGAAAGAAAGAAAGAAATTGAAAACAAGTGGACAACTTCTTTGCTTTCATACACAGTGTTACGGAAAGAGCACTTTTACAGGGATAACGTCTCTTACTCGACGGATTGCCATTTCGTGAAATGTATTTAATTGTTTCGAACCTTTTTTTATTTAAAATATTTATGAATTTGTGAATACTTGGCTTCGTTACACACAGTTGAAGTTATTTATTATCTATATTCTTCATTATTGTTAATTAAGGTTGGATATCGTTCTAATTTGATGGGTGATATCTGCACCGGGATGAATCTTGTTACAACAAATTAACCGATGTGAGATCAATATTAATAAAATATAATATTATATATATATATAAAATGAGTTTATCTTAATATCACTAAAAAAATCTAAACTTCACTTTAAATCAACCAATATAAACCGTTCTCTTAGTAGTTGAAAACACTACCGTAGTAATATAACTAATGAACTCTAATACTTTGAATCCATTGATTTCTAGCATCCCCATCAAAATAAAGCTTTTTAGAAGAACTCTTTTTCTTCATTACTTTATATTACGAGGTGCGCAGTGAAAGGTTAACTAGTAATAAATCAACTGATTCATACGCTGGATCTATTTCGATGACGTAAACGAACGAAAATTTTCAAACATTTGCATTTTTGTGATGATGGTGACGAATGTAGGTGTCACATTGATTTATGGAAGAAGCCGAAAATAGTAAAGGTTTAGGGAGAAATTACAAATGAAAACGTTTACACTTACGAGAAAAAAAAAGTATTGATCTGAATGCTCAGGGAAAGAAGACATAGGTAGCATTTATTGATTAAATAAGAAGATTTAGAGATATTGTAAGCTCCATATTTTAAAGATTATGTTAATATTTTTAACGTACCGCTAGAATAACAACAATAAAAGAACAAAATAAATTATTTCTATGAAGCCTATCCCCTGAATATTCACGAGGTAAAAAAAAAGTTTGGGGTCGTAAAGGTAGTAGAATATAACTTGCATTAGAAGGAAAAGAACATTTACTGTCAAAGTTTCTTCACTGTTGATAAAAAAAAATAAGTTTGGGGTCGTAAAGGTAGTAGAATATAACTTGCATTAGAAGGAAAAGAACATTTACTGTCAAAGTTTATTCACTGTTGATAAAAAAAATAAGTTTAG